TCAGTTGGTTCCACTCTGGTCCTGCGGCAGGAGGTTGTGGGTTCAAGCCCGAACTCAGGACTTTGAACTCACGTAGTCTAAGCTGGCATTCCAATGCAGTGCTGGAGTATCCTTCATTATTGGAAATGCCTTCCTTCAACAACCACAAAGTTACATTTATAAAGAGTCTTTCACGTCGAGAGGACGTCCCAAAGCGCTGAAAACCAGGGGTCGGGACCCGAGCATGGGGGAGAGGTGGTGTACAGGTGAGGGAAGGCAGAGAGGTGGGAGGGCGACGAAAGGCACGATCGAAGAGAAGGGTCTTGAGACCGGCCTTGAAGGAGGCAAAGGAGTCAGCAAGGCCAAGGGACTGTGGGATGGAGTTCCAGAGTGTGGGGGCAGAGAGGCTGAAAGCCCGGCCACCGATGGTAAGGCGGGTCAGGCGGGAGACGTGGAGCAGAACGTGGAGCCCGTTGAACGGAGGGAGCGGGCAGGAGTCAGCAGGTCAGAGAGGTAGGAGGGGGCAAGGCCATGGATGGCCTTAAAGGTGAGGATCTTGAATTCGATAAAATATTATTCAGATAAAATATTAATCCAAGTTCCCATCTGCCTATTCAAGTGAACATTAATGATCCCACGGTATAATGTATTGAAGAGGACGTTTCTCCTGGTATCCCGGCTAACAATCCCCGAAACTTCATGACTGTTTGTGTTTTGTGCACAGATGGGCTCCCGGGGCATTCGTCTACAAATACACAGTCAGTCCACTTTACAGTATATTCCTGTGAAGCACTTTGAGACGTCCTCCTGATGTGAAAGGTGCTATACCAAATGCAAGGATTATTATAAAACACATTACTGTGGTATCTGCTTCCTCAGTGTCAAGCTGCTTTAAAAAGGAGAGAGTGTACTCTGGTGGTTAGTTAGATGAATTACACCATCTCAAGAAAAATCACTTAAAATACAGTAGAAATTTAATTTGCATTTGATAGACACCTTATCACATCAAAGCATCTCAAAGTCGGTTTTATGTTTAAAAGACCGATATATTCACAATGTATATTGAAGCTCCAAGATCTGTTAACAGTGGACTCACCGACAGTCTCAGTGCTGCAATATCCCACATGAGGTCTGACCAGGGATCTATAGAACTCAGACAAGTATAAGAGAGACTGATTTAATTATCCTTGCATTTGATATGGTATCTTTAATTGTCAAATATCTCAAAGTACTTCACAGGTAATTGCTGTCAAGTGTAATAATTGTACATTTATCATCAAACACAGCAGTCAATTTGTGAATAGCAAGGACCTATAAACAACCGTGACCAATTTTATCTTGGGGATTATTGGCCAGGACACTGAGAAACTACAATTTTGAGACATTTCAATGCTTTAGGCGCTATAAAAAAGCAAGTTTGTATTTTCTCAGAATCACTTTCAAAATTATGAGCTGAAGTTAGCATTTCATTCAATATTTAACACATGAATGGCTGATAGCAGATCCCCAACCTCATGCTATTTTCAATGCCGATGTCTGAGAAGCTGAGCCTGTGAGCTTGGGCTCTTGGTTGACAGATCACAGATTGATGTTCAGTGGGGCGACAGTTTTTTTTGAATTTCATGTTTACTAAATAGCCAGTCTTCTGCTGATTGGGAGGCCTCAATGTTCAAGCTAGATGTCCACTGCTGAGGACACAGCTGCTCAAACGTCTCCATTGAGAATATAATACAAATGTCCTTCACGGTAGTAGGATATCCTAGACCACTTTGAAATCAGGTGGATCTGCCCATTCATTGTGATGAATATTAAATGTTCATTTCTTTGGACCTGAATCCTGTGTCCTTGATCCTGTTCCCCCAGGCCTGGCTGCTGTGTACTGGCCCTGGTTGTCCTGCTGGTTCTGGTCCCAATGCTCCTGGTCCTCTGCTCCTTTAATCCCTGTTCCCGCTCCTTTATTCCCTGTCAGCATTTGCAAAGCACTGTTTATAAAAAGGAGGGAGCCAAATACCACAAGCCTCTGGCTGTAACCTTGCGCTTTAAACACACAAACACACACGGTACATACAGATTCTAATTTTTGGTCAGCTGGGTATCTGACACATGTGGAAACCCATCACCGTGCTTAAGAGTATCCAAACAAAGCTGAGAATTCCACGCAACTCACCCACACATGGAAATCCCAGAGATAGATTGTTGGAATGGAATGAGCATTCTCTCACTGGAGGGAGACATCCTGCTTACTTAATTCCGCTGAGTAGTAGGCGTAGGTTGGCCAGAGTCAAGGTTTGAGGACCCCAGAGTTTGCGTTGAGGTACTGCTGGGGTCTAACCAGTTAAAACCTCGGAGCTTGCCATTGACAGCACGGTTTGGCAAGCTATCCCTCTGACTGTCCAGCTCGGACAACCCTACCCGTTAGGACTTTGGCTTGCAGGGTTAACAGGAGCTGAGTGGGATGACCCCCTGCCCTCAGTGACTGGCCTGCCTTTCCAAGTCCTGCCCATGAGCCAGGCTGGCTGTTCTGTTCTTGCTCAGTTACGACAGTCCGTGCCAAGCATATCACCTTGGAACCAGTTCAGTTCCAAAGAGACCCTGCTTACCTCCCCCAACGACTGATCTGCCCTTCCGAGTCATAGTCACTAGTGGGTTGTTCGACATCCGACAAGTGTGGGTTTGAGCCCGCACTCGGTGAATGGCAGGTACCGTGAACTCCCTGCGAGCTTCCCTATGGGCAACACAGCTCAGCATGAAATGGGTGGGAGCATTGGCACCAACTTCCTGTCCACAGCTCAGGAACACATCCCTTCCCATTGAGCGACTGTTCCACCATTTGGAGGTGCGGAGTTCAAGCAGCAACTGGTTCCCTGTCTGAGGCTAATCAAGATGGGTCCCAGGCGTTGGATGTACAAACTTTTGTTCCCG